CCATGTACCTGCTGTATGTGTCGGGTGTGTGCTCCTGCGATTGTGAATGACAGGCAGAGACCTCAGGGAGAGAGGTTTGCACTGATTTTCTGCTTTCTCACGAGGAACGGCTGTCCTTTCCAGCTGTCCCATTCCACTTTATCAGCTCAGGTTGTGTTGGCTTCATGAACCAGAAAACCAACCTTGGTAGCACGTGTATTAGAAATCAAATCTCCCCACATAAGAAGAAGTCTGGTATTAAGCCGTTCAGATGTTCTTGATGGATCTTTACAGCTTTCTGTCCTGCCAACCCTAGATGGGCATTTCTTTTCTTAATGTTTGCAAAGTGGCTGCATCATCTCCAGGTATTTCATCCAGGTTTCTTACCCAGAAAAAGGAGAAGAACAAGAAAAATGAGAAGGAGCAGGAGTGGAAGGAATGAAGGGCAAGGGCAAAAGGTCCTTGGACTTCTTAAATCCTTGCCCAGTATAATTCTGGTCCCACATCCTTGGTTGGTACTGAGTCACATGGACACTCTTAGTTGTGTAAAGGAGTTGGGGAGATGAGAGTTTAACCTGAACACGCTGCTGCTCAGCTAGCAAAATTCAGAGAGGAAGGGAACAGAAGAAAAAGCATCCAACCAGTGAACTAACAGTGTCTGTTCCCAGTCTTTGTAGTCTCAACACATAGGGAATTCTGCTCATATCCCCCAGCATCAGTGGCAGAGGCTGAGTAGGGTGAGATCATGCAGGTCTTGTGAGTCAACAGTTACAACTCAGTTAAATTCAAGAAGTTATAAGTGGGTCACCTTGCAAGGCACTGGAGCCTAGAAGTGGAGGAAGATGCTAGGTCCAGCCAAGACCTTCCCGTGAGGCAGCAGACATAGGGCCATTGAACGTAGTAAAGTCCAAACTGAGATATGTACAGTTACAGTTATAGAGACACAGTGGTGCTCAGGACAGTAAGGATGATCTAGCCTTAATTTCAGTAAGGTAGCATTGGAATGGAGTTTTGAAGTGTAGGTAGGAGTCCTACAAGTAAAGTAGAAAAAAAAGGATGTTTCAAGCATCAAGGAAAAAACTACGAGCAAAAGATTGAGGTCAGGAAAGCGATCAGATCATCATGTGTGGCCCTTAGGATAACATTTACAAGGATTGTGGCAGCACGGTGGATGGATAGGAAAGTAAGGCACAGAGTGGGTTAGAAGAAGAAGCAGGACAGATACCTGGGGGTTGGATTAGAAAGACTGAATGTCTTGTTTAGGATATGGGCTTTAAAACTTGTGGGAAATAAGGAGCCATATTTGTGTTGTGGGAATAGTCCAACAGAGTCAGTGGAGGTGGATATGGGGAGACTGAAGCAGAACCAGCTCTGGGAGGCTGGTATCCCAAAGGCTTGACTTAGCATAGAAGCACTTCAGATGGAAACAGACACACCAGGCAGAGGTGTGAGGATGGCATTCCTTTTTCTGGATGAGGAGCTGGTTTGGGGACAGTACTATTTACAAAGTCAAGGAAGACATAGGAGGGGAGCACTTGGAGGCACAGGCTATGCTTTGGAGCACGTGGAGGGTTTCCCAAAGGCCTGTGTGTTCAGGATTTAGCCCCCAGCCATGGCACTATTGGGAGATGGTGGAACTGTAAGAGATAAGGTCTCGTGGGAAGTCCTAGGATCACAGGGCAATGCCCATGGGGGGGATAATACAGCCCAGATACCTCCTGTCTCTCTGTTGCTTTCCAACGGCCATAAGGTGATCAGCTTTGTTCTGCCACCTGCTCCTCACTGTGTTATATTCATGATCTCACTGTAAGCCCAACAGGGCCAACTGCCCAGGGATTGGAACCTCCCAAACCATGAGCCAACATACCTGTTTTCTTTATAAGTTTATTTGTCTCGGGTATGTGTTGCAGAGATGAAAAGCTGCTTGGCACACATGGGATGGATTTAGAATGGCAGTCTGGAATTATTTGTCTGGGTCTCTGGGAGGGATAACCAGCAAGACTAAGGGAGTGGCAAAACTATGTTTGTAGATGAGATCGCCCCGGAGCTCCATAAAGAGACAAAGGGCCAATACAGCTGTTTGAAAGAGAGGCTGGAGGAGTTGGAGAAAGAAAGGTCAGTCAGGGAGGAAGGGAGAGGTCTGGGATGCATTTGGAAGTGAGCCAGGGAACTGGAAACTGCTGTCCCAGGCTCACGGCCTTGGCACGGTTAAGCCTGTGCAATCAAGCCAGTGTGCGTGGAGACAGGGTAGCAGTCAGTGGACAGCATCTGCTCCCGACCTGCTGCCTGCATCTCAGGATGAAACAGCACCTGGATGGCTTCCTGTGTCTAGCTTGTAGAGCTACCTGCTAGTTGGAACCAGGTCTCCCCAGAGATGGCTCTCTTTTAGCTCTCCCAGAGGGATCTTCCTTCCTTGTCAGAGGCTGCGTGACCCAAGCAATGACTGTGCAAGAGCTATGTCTGCCCCAGCACAGAGGAACCATACGGAGTCCTCTCCTGCTGAAGATTTAGCTGCTTTGCTCTAAGTTATGCAGCTCAGAGCGAGTGTTCAAGCACGGGGCAGTCCTCACGCAGTAGCGGCGCTGCCCTCCTGAGCCCAAGCCTGTCCTTCCATGGCTCCAGTTTCAGGTCTTGGGGGGGTGCAGAGAGTTTTAGATGTGGTTTCCGCCCTGTCTCACCCTATTTTCACCATGACTGTGCTCCTTTGGCCCAGCATTGTCTGCTCTTGGCTCCTGGAGAAGCAGGTTCTTCAGGTGGGACCCAGAAGCCATGGCTTAGTTTTATGTCAGCCACGCTTTCTCTACAGCACTTGGCTGAGCCGGCCTCTCCCCAGCTCTTGCTTGCAAGTTTTCTTGGTGCTCTCACTGGCTCCCATTGCACAAAAAATAGAAGCTGGAATCATCCAGGAATTGTCCAGCTTGGTGGATCTGCTTCGTTCTCCAGCTGGTCTCTGCTTAAGGACACACTGGGTGAAATTCCAGAGTTAACTCCTTCTGCCTCAGGACCTTTGCACAGATTGTTCTGTCCTCATATCAGAATCATTTCTCAGCGCTGTCTGGCACCCTAATCCCTGACTCTTTCGTCTCAACCCCTCACCACTCCTGATCCCTTGGCTTGCTTCTCAAATGCTGCATCCTCATTGCTCTGAACTATGTTTTAATTGTACACTTACTCATGGGATTATTTGACAAGTAACTATCCTGCCCATTGGTTAGAAGGGACCTCCCCAAATGGATTCTCATCGCTTGACCCAGGGCAGAGTAAAGATTAGGCCCTCCCCTCCATAAATTTATTAAAGGATGGGGCAGTTGGTGACTTCTTTTAACTCATGCCCTAGGCGACACTGTATTTCTTCTTTCCGCCGGAAGGGAGCTGTAGCTCCTTTTAGAACAAGCCCGCGTATTGCTTCGTAGCTGTAACATCCTGAATTCCTCCAGCAGGACACCTGGATGGAACAGAAAGCAACACTACTTGAAGCCAAGCCATGGCGATGCCTTGTGCAGATTTAGCTCCTGTTGCCTTTGCAGCCGGCTGTCAGCAGTGGCAGGCAGAGGACCTGGGAAGTGGCTTGGCTGAACACTCCAGAATTCTCTGCCAGGAAAAGGCCTGAGCCAACAGGTGGCTCAGCTTTGGTGTTCTGACCCATTGGCCTCTCCTTCCCCAGCCAGGCTTGCAAAACCTCTGTGTGGTGTGTCCTTGCCAGTAGCTGTCCCAAAAAGCAACAAGAAGGTGAATCAAGGCAAGACTCAAGGACATCTGGTGGGATGACTCCACTTGCTCAAGGACATGGGCCTAAAAAAAGTGATATGGTTTCCTCTTTCCCACCTCAAGCAGATAAAAAAGGGAATGGATGATTGTATCAAAGTTCTGAGTTTATAGAAAAGTCAAGAATTGCAATCTGTCTGCAATCACATGGATTAGCAAGATTTGAGCCAGACTTTGGTAAAAGATCTTCAGGTGTCACAGGGACCCAAGTGACTTTGAATCTAAGCAAGAGCAGTGGCCATTCAGCCCCAGGTTTGTGCTTGGGGTCAAGCTGTCCTCCCAGTGTATCCCTGAGGGAGCCATGAATTTCTTAAAAGCCATTTACAGTTTCTCTGTTGGCTCCAAAGCTATCTTGAATTCATGTGTGTTTCCTGCCTTGGGGTTTTGAGACTTAGCCATTTATTAAAATAAGTTACAATCGGCCAGAGCTGGAAGGGACCTCTTCTTCACAAATGAGAACACAGGCCAAAGCTGAGGGTGTTGGAGGCTGGGCGGGTCTCTGCTGGAAGGGATTGGGCCTTGTCAGGAAGTCCTTGCGGCCAGGCGCAGACTTAGACAATCACAGTGGCCCTCCGCAGCCACTCTCCACCCCCAGCACACATGTTGGCTGGGGCCTGGTTACTTCCCTCATAGCAGAGCTTCCTGAGGACCAACCTGGTAGCCAGCCTTTGTGATTCTGCTGGTGCCAGGCCTCAGCCTCTTCCTACAGACCCTGTCCCTAATGATAGAGTCGGTTTATGGCGCACTCCTCCCTAGGGTCCTTACCATTTCCCCCTGCGAGGAAATAAGAGACTCCAGACATTTGTGCTTCTAGCTGAGATGTAAATCTCCAAATTGTCATCTTGAATTTTGACTCCTGAGGACTGGAAGGGGTAGAGGCAACATGTACTGCCCGCGGGCAGGAACAGGGCTAGAGGGTGTTTGCAAAAGGGGTTGTGGGCATCAAATCTGTGGTTCAGATGAGGGCCCCGCCCCTAGGGCCCTGTCTGAAAATGTCAGCTACAGGCAGAGCTGGCTCCTGCACCCACGACACAGCCATTCATGCCGCTGGTGCGTGCTCCCCATAACTGCCAAAGGCACCCAATTAACGTGGGTTGCTGTGTCTGATGCTGGGTTATTTTCTTTTATTTTTCTGCCCCCCTGAGTTTACTATTTCGGAGAGACACCAGCTCTGTCATTGTGCTGGTCTGGCTCCCTTCCCACCTTCACCGGAGGAAAATCGTAGAGCAACAGCTGACTGCAAATCCGCTCTGGCTCCCGCGCGCCTTCTGGGCGGGCGGCGGCTCCTGTTGCTTCTCAGAGCTCTGGAAATCTCCCGCGCGCTCGCTCGCTTGCGTGGAGGAGAGGTGGGCGCGGGGGCGAGCGCGGGCGGAGGGGTCTGCACTGGCCACTGCCCAGGAAAGGGGCCGGCGTCCACCCGGGAGCCCAGCCGCGCGCCCCCGCCCAACCCGACTCTGCGCGCCCGAGAGGCGGGAAAGCAGGCAGGCCGCGCCCACCGCCCTGCCCCCAGCCGCCACTCCCAGGCTCCTCGGGTCTCGTCGCGTCCTCCTGGGATCGGCGTGGAGGGGACACGCTGTGCAGGTGAGCGGCGGGGAGGGGGCTCAGCTGGCTCCGTCCGGAAGGGAAGGGGCACGGGGGAGGACGGCCCCCGAGCGCGAGCGGCTCTGGCTTGGTTGTTGCAGGGGGTGTGTGTGGTCCTCCTTGGTCTCGCCGGGCAGCGGGAGGCGGCTCTGGGGATGTAAACAAGGAGGTGGGCGTCGGGGACCGAGGGCCCGGAGGGGAGCAGGCGCTGGTTGCGGGGATGCTGGCGCTGGGGAGGGCTCGCCTTGCTGCCCGGAACCTGGGGCTAGGGTCCCCGGGAGATGGAAAACAGGCTGTGCCCACCCAGAATTCAGGGGAGTTGTTGTTACTTGGAGGCTGTGGACTTGAGTTGGCGTAGGGACGCCAGGACGGGGAGTGTGGCAGCTGTGAGTGTGGACACAAAAGCCATACAAAATGGAACTTGCGGGGAGGGGTGTGGACGCGGTAGAGGGCACAGAGGGGCGGCAGCGAAGCAGCATCGGGGCCGGGCGCAGGGAGTCGCGACGGTGTCGGCATCGCTTTTTCCCTCCTGAATCCTGTTTTCTTGCCAGGGGGCTCCGATTTTCCCATTTCCGCCTTTCCCCAACAGGCTGGTTCTGGCGAACCGCCCTCTTTGTGTCCCCTGGGTTTTGGTGGAGAGTTGGAGGAGCAGCTTGGCTCTCCCGGTGCCTGCTCTGGCTCTGACAAGTGGTGGAGCAGTCTGGCTAGGAACAGGTCTGCCCAAGGCCCCTGCCGAGCTCCAGACCCCGGGGCTGTGGCTGCTAGAGGCTTCTTCCCACTGGTATGGCCTCTGTCTCCTGTTCTTTGTCTCCTTGGCTTCATCCCTGGCGGGGCAAGGCTCTCCAGGTTTGCAGACGGATCAGTGGACACCCTAGGCCCTCTACGAAAGGACCCCCACTCAGAGAGCTCAGCTGCCCACATATTGTGTGTGGATATGTATATCTGGTTTGCAACTTGGCCTTTTGCCTGTGACCCGCCTGGTAGTTACCATGGAAACTCCAATTCTCAGCCTCCCTCCCTTTCCTGCCCATTCCTCACCTCCATATTGCCTCCCCTCCCCCCAATATGGTTGCCTAGATACTGGTTATCTTTGGCTTCTGTGGAGAGGAGACCCTGGATGTCTGGCTCCAACTCCAAAATGACATGGCCCTTTACCCACTCCACCCCCTCATACAGACCGTACATCACAAGCACCCCCAAAACATACACACACTATGTTACACAGTCAACACGTCTTCACACACATTCTGTATACATCCTACTCACCATACATAACATACTCTATGTACACACCATGTATATGCATGTATCGTCCCACATGTATACCACACACACCAAGTACGCCACATCCATACCACACCTCAGACCCTCCATGTACAGAGCTTTGCTCACACCTTACTCTCATGCTGTATACGTTCACACTCCCCAACAATAACATACATCACTCCCTGACATATACGCATGTATGTGCGCCTGCGCATGGGCGTGTACTCTCTCTCTCTTTCTCTCTCTCTCCCTCTCTCCCTTTTCCCAATCTTCCCTCTCTCCCTCTCTCCCTCTCTTCCTCTCTCCCTCCTTCTAAAGCGGGCTCTGGTTGAGTTGAGGCAAACAGCTCAGTGCTTAAGGGTGTGGAGGGGAAGACTGGAGGCTCGGGAAGCCTAGAAGGGAAATCCTAACCTCTCCCTGGGGAGAGGATGTTGAGTTAGATGGTAGAGGCAGAAACACTTCCAGATTCCTTACCACAGAAGCTTCTCTCCTAGGTGCCAAATTCCAGAGCCTGGGAGTAGACCACAATTTCTCCCCCCCCCCCCCATATGGGGGATTGAACTCAGGACTCTGCGCTTGCCAGGCAAGTGCTTATTCTACTGAGCTATCTCCCCAGCCCAAACACCAGAATTTCTGTCTCTCCCTGCTGCAGCTCCAGAAATCCTGAGGCCTCCCCAGGCATTTTCCTGACTATAGGAGGCTTTGAGGTGGGAAGGGAGGCCTGTCACCCTGCAGAGGTGCAGAGTGACAGAGAGAGAGAGAGCTCAGGAGGGCAGGTACTGCAGGGAGGAGGGGAGAAGAGCCAGGAAGAGGAAAGTGGGGAAGTTGATTCCTGTCTGGGGTTCAGGCCCTTCTCCCTCTTTGTTTTCCTGCTTCCTGCTTGACTCCTCCAACCAGAGCCAGGCATCCAGGAGAGAAGGCCAGCTGGCAAAGGGCTCCTCCATTGCCACCGTCCGGGACTTGTGGTTTCTGTGGTCATCAGGTGGTACATCTCTGAGGGAAGACTTTCCTTTCTGGCTTCCATTTATCTTTGGACTATCGAAGAAGCCCATTTCATTAGATCGTTCAATGACCTGTGTTAAAGGTCTGCCTTGTTTTAATCACTGGGGACACCTGTGAGGGAGACACAGCCCTTAGCCTAGGAATCTTATAGCCAGAAGGAGCATCCAGGTAGGACATAACTGAGGAAACTGAGGCACAGGGGTCACATGTAATAGCTGAGGCCATCTCATTCCTTAAGATTTTGGACCTCACTCTGCCCAGCATCTCTTGTGTTCTGTTCTTGTCTATCATCAGTCCTTTGGAGACTGGGGTGCCCCTTTCATAGGGAGGTCCCCTAGGGGTGGGGATGGTAGGTGAGCTCCGCTCATTGAATTTTCTTGGAAAGTAATGCTGGAGAATGTGGCAGAGAGAGGTGGGAAAAGGGGCTGTTTCTTAGACCCTGGAAACTCCCTGGAAGCCTTCAGGGAGTTAGCCCACCTCCCTCCCCCCATAAATCAGCACACATGCCCCCCTCCTCCAGTCCTGTTGGACTTAATCAAGGACCATCTGGATAGCAGACAGTGCCAGGCATCCCCTGGGACTCCCCGTCTAACAAGGCTCCCATTAGCTCTGCCAGAGTAACACTGAAAGGAACAAACCAGTCCTAAAGGCACAGCCCTCAGGAAGCAGAGAGTCTAGGGCAGGAAGCCTGGCTCTAGCCCCGCTCTGCCCCTGTGCCACTGAGGGCATGTGTACTGTGTTCATGGGGCTTCTCGTGAAATACAGAAACGGCCTTGATGGCTCTCAAGTAGCCAAAAGCCTCTAAAGTCTTGACTTCTGTTTCTGTATCTATCAATAGAGGTTCAAAGTCCTGATTTCCTAGCCGTGTCTTCCTCTGAATTTGTGTGGATTATACAATCTTGAGATCCCTCTTCTCTCCAGGCACCAAATTGTATTTATTCCACAATGTGGGACTGCATCTGAGCTGAGCAAAAAGGGAGCTGGCCTCTGGCTACTCCCCTAGAAAGCTCCTTGCCACCCAGTAGGGCAGGTTATATCTGATGAATGGAGACTGAATTTCTTCTCTTTGGCTGAGAAGCACCCCCACTCCAGGTGGGGTGGAGCCTTTAAAGAGCCTCCTCTGGAGAGGACCAGAGCCGGGGTCACCAACTGAGGGTGTCAGAGAGGCTGGACATGACAATGTCAGGTGCAGGGTCAGCCCGTCAAATGGATGGGGATGGAAGACACAAGAGGTCATCACAGAGGTGAGAGACTGAGGCTGGGTGACGTAAGGAAGTGTCCCAGGGAGAGTTCTAGCCAGCTGGAGAGGAAGCAGGGAGCGTGTCCTGTCTTTGCTGTCTGTCCATGACACTGTCTCTGGCCAAGAGAGGAGCACTTGGAACCATTTGGCGGCATCTTATCTGCTGTGAGATGGGAGAAGGTGGAGGAGGCTTGGAGGCCACATAGATATGCTGTGGTCACAAAGATATGCAGGAGAGAGGGCCTGGGAAGGAGGTGAGGACCCTGCGGGCCAGGCTAGAGTCGAGTGGAAGCACTGGAATGTTTCCATGCCAGCGCAGACTACTAGATTTGGGCACACAAGTCTAGAGATGAGATTGGGCATGTCTAGATGGACTGACAACGACCCCCGCACAGCTGGAGGGGAAAAGCAGGCCTGTACTCACAGACCAGATGGAGGCCAACGCCTCAGATTCTTTCAGTCTTTTAGCAAACCTTTGCCAAGTCCTTTCCCTGGATCAGCCCTCTGTGCTTCTCAGGATGCAGCAAAGCCCTCCAGCTCTGGAGGGTCAATGGGTTTGTCCTCGGCCACCCTCCCACTGCCTGCCTTACCTCACTTCCCATGAGAAGGGTCCTGTACCCTGCCTTCTCGCCAGGACAGGCCCCTCACACCAGCGCTGGCACACTCACACTTGCACACACACACTCCCTTCCTCACACACATACTCTTCCACTCCTGAGAGGCAGGCAGGTAGGCATACAGCCCTGCAATGCCATACTTCACTCAGCCTCAGGCGCGGGCCCCATCTATGAAAGCCTCTCGGTCTGCATCCTCCCAGCCCCTGCTGTGGGGCTGGTCTAGTCACATCCAGCCTCTTGGGGAGCCCCCGTTGCTGGTTACAAGGACAGGCACCACACCGCCCTTCAGACTCTCTGGAATCTGGCTGCTGCCACCCCCTCTGGGCGCCACCTCCAGACGCTCCTCCAAGCCTGGTGTTTTCCCACCCTCACCAGGGCCTGCTGGGGTGTGTGCTCTTGCTCCTGCCTGTGAAGCAGGGATTGGCAGCCTTTGCACACAGACTTGGGTTCTAAGCCGGATTCTGGCGCTTCCTGGTTTTCTCAGCTTTTCAAAGCCTCTGTTGCCTCGCCTATCAAATGAACACAAAGATGGAGCAGGAAGAGCTCCATAAGTTGGGAGCGCAGTGGCTGGCACATGGCAAACACTCACTGCAGATTACCTGCTACAAGGGCAGTGGTGGTAGCTACTCCTTCTCACTCATACTAGAATGGCATCGTTAGTGTTCTCTCATCCTCTGAGGCTCTAGCCAAGTGCTCGTCCTTTGGAGTATCTCTTTCTAATTCCCCATAAACCCTGCTTCCTTCCTCATATTTCCTGAAAGCTCTGTCTCCTTAGACCCACTGTGCCTGCATTTTTAATACTTACAGAATTGCTTCCTCCCTCCCAGCCTCCCGTCAGTCCCCTGGGCACATGGAGAAAGGCCAGTGAGTACTCA